ATCATCAACATCATAACTATCATCACTATCATCATCACCAATGCTATCACCGTTAGTCAACACTATCACCTGACAGTCACTATCATCAACATCACTATCATCACTATCATCATCACCAATGCTATCACCAGTAATCAACACTATCACATGACAGTCACTATCATCAACATCAACATCATCACTATCACCATCACCAACACTTTTACCAGTTTTCTCAGTATATCGCCATCCCCAGCATCTTCATCATTTCTGTCAATTATCATTATATCATTATCAATATATAAATTCTTGGACTCAGAGCAAAAACTATTATAGATTATTATGAGATATTTCAACTGTATTGCACAGTTTTCATCAGTCAAATTAGAATGTATTGCACTTGTCATCTCATCTAATCATTATCAGCATCACTTTCATCACCATCATCATCCTATCTCTTTTCTTTTTCTATTTAAGCATTAATATCAGCTATAACTTTTTCATTTGTTTATCATTAGGTCAGGTGCTCTCCTATGAAAACATTCAAAGCATTATCAGGTTTTGTAAACAGGAAAAACTTGTCATGCTGGCTGATGAGGTAATCCATACTTTCTTGTCATACATTTTTATTATTACTTTTTTGTTTAAAAGCTAAAAATATTTAAAGGGAAGGGTGGATCAAATGTTACATTGTCACCCTAGCTCTCACTCACCCCAACTGCCCAGGGTTCATTTTTCATACTTTATTTCATCTAGGTTAATTAGGAAATTTTTTAATGAAAGTACACACACACAGACACTTGTATTGCTTGACACAATCCTTTCGCCAAAATATTCCTAGCATACAATATTTTTTTAGTGACAGTTGCAAGTATTCAACTTGTTTCAGTTGCATGATATTGATTAGTATTTAATAAACTGAGTTTGAATGACCACTCTGATTGGTTTAAATGCAGTAATACTAGACCAGATGATCTGAAATGTGCATCTTATTTTTTCTGAACACGAGAAGAGCTTGATCTTTCTTACAAATAAAAAAAAACAATTTTTTTAAATAGGCATAACTTCTCTTAGCAATCAGTTAATGTTAAAATCATAGCATGGGGGGTTGGGAAAGCATCTTCATTTTGGTCTTTAATGTTATGGATATTAAATCAAATAAGTGTTTATGGGTCATTGTAAGACTCATTATATTGTATTATTTTTTTGCTTCATCAACTTGGCAATAATTTTGCTTAATTATGACTTAGCTTTCAACCTATTCAGTCATCTTCAGGGCTTACAATTATTATCTTCAGAGTTTAAAMTAATCATTATTACAATTTCTTAAACAAACTAGCATCCTGTTATTTAAATAACCTAGCTTTCAAACTCTGGGGTCATATTTAATTTGGGAGTTTACATGGATATTTTCCAAAGTGCACAGTAATCAACAGACATTTCTTTTGCATGTTAAAACTTTCAAACTACAAACAAAAACAATATCTTTTGCTGAAATAGATAACCTTGTTTTCACAAGAACTTACATTAGAGGCTGGTGTCTTGTGGTTTACACTGAGACATTTCTATAAATATTATCTCTGACTACCTTAATGATACAATGAACAATCTTGGCTAGATATTTAATAGGTCTAAGTGCAAGGGGGTTTTAGTTTTGCTGTAAAAGCCTTAGTTAGGGTACAAACATGCTGTGGTTAGACCATGGAAAATTAAAAAAAAGACTAATACAATACCAACTGCAGACTTAAAAACAACATGTTTTGAAAGAATATGATTATGAAAGCACCAAGCACTTAACATTTGTGTATAATTTTTGCCATGCCACACAAAACTGTGTGGAACTTACTGTACATTTATTTACAGTATATCCACATAGTGCAAAACTTCTGCTTTAAAGTTGTGGATTTTTGTAAAGTTGTTATTATTAAATTACGATTTTATCGATATCTGGCTTTTTCTGGCTAGCAAAAGAAAAGACAGACAGCTGGATGGGTATTTACTGAGGTTAACCATCAGGTTACTTTCATGTCTGCTGATAATCTAGGCTTAAAATGACATTTGTTCTGCTTGAAGAACATCTTAAATTCCTGAAAATTATCTTGATTATGTTGGTTTTTAAATTGTTTGTGGTGAGCTTGATGGAACTTATGCATGGTTAGATGGGTGGATGTTTAATTAGAAAATAAGTGTGTGGATGAGTGAATAAATGGATAAATGACTAGATGGATAAATGACAATATGAATGGAAAAGTAGTATTCAGCCATCCAGAACTCAATGGTATTGTTAGTGCAAGTAAATGTGTTTTATTAATAACAGACTGCTACTGACTGACTGACGGATGGACGGACGACTGACATGCAAACTGAATGAATGAATGAATGAATGAACCACTAAGACTGATAGATATAACAACTGTCTGGGGAAGGACAGACAGACATTGATATCAAAAGCATAGCTACATCAACATCTCAAACACTGACCAATCATAATGAGAGGGCACTCGATACCAAACATTATTATTATCTTACCTTCTTTTGAAGAGACTGATTGATTGATAGATAGATTGATTGATTGATTGATTGATTGATTGACTTCACAGGTATACCAAGCCAATATTTATGCCGAAGATTCAAAGTTCCATTCATTTAAGAAAGTTCTCAGAGACATGGGACCAGAGTTTGAACACATGGAACTGATCTCTTTCCATTCTACATCTAAAGGATTCCTTGGAGAGTAAGTCTGTATAACCCAGTCAGCGGGATATCTGGCCAAAATTGGCTTTTGTTCAACCACTTGTTACTTGGTACAGCTTTTTCTGGGCAGCTGAAGACAATAATCTATATTAAAAACTCATATTTTACCAACACCCCCTGTACAGGACTCTTCCGTAAAAAACAAAATTCACTGCTAAGCTGGTAAGGGGAGTCCCAACTGTCAATTGCTGAATGGAGTAAAAAAAATTCCTATTCATTTGTTAAAGAGAGTTTTTTATTTTTGTAGGTGTGGATTTAGAGGAGGATACATGGAAGTTGTTGGGTTAGATCCTGAAGTCAGATTTCACTTGAACAAAATGTTAACAGCAAAGCTTTGCCCATCTGTTGTAGGACAAGTGAGTTACATATCATGATTTTCACAATTTATTTTAATAGCAATTAGTTTTGCAATGGACCTAATCTACATAAAATGTAGACATAATATTTTCCCATTTCAGATCATGTGTCACACTAAGGTGAACGTAATGTTTATAAACATTGCTATTGTGATTTTAATGTGTCATCCATTTCAAAAACATGTTTGTCACCCTTACTTTGCTGTTTTGGATTATGCAGTAGAGCATTTTGCACTCACGTGAGAAGGCAGCCATAAACAATAGAAACTTTCAGCACAGTATTTGCATAAAAATAGAGTTCAATTCCCGGCGGATAGAAAATGTATTCTTTTGGTACCCCAATGGCCGCTGTGATGTCACATGAAAATGCTCTATAAAATTCTGGTGGGTCTTGCAATTTAAAAAAATCAACCAAAACAAACTTTTTCATCATCATCACCTACCTATTGACAATAGGTTTCTTTAATAAAGTTGGATGCATATTCATGTGTCTTCTAATGCATAATCATGCCTTAAACAAGAAAATTATACTTTAGGCAATGACACATGTTCTGAAATAAGAAAATATTTTTTTTACAATGAAGGCCATTGGTAAATGTTCGAAGCATCTGCTTAACAATAATTAAATCAGAGACAAACAAATAATATTGATTATATGGATCCTGATTGCAAATCAATTTTAAGAAACTTACAAGAAAACAGTATATTTGGTTTATAGGCCTATTTCTTTTTTGTAAAGTAATCAAGAGCAGTATTGCACTATTTGTCCTAGTATTTGTCCTCACCTCTGGGGTCTCAGATTCTATTTCTATACTCATCATCACTCTTTCTTAAAGGTGATTAAAATTTGTTATCTTATTGTGTAATGGAATTTTTTTTTTTTTTTTTTTCTAACAGGCCATGATGGGATGTCTTGTCAACCCTCCACAACCAGGAGAAGAGTCCTATGAAAGCTTCACACAGGTAAGGATAGATAGTACTCAGCATTTTTCCTTGTCAAATTTGTCTACAATTGTCAGCACTCAATTCTTAGATTTTTTTTTTTTTTTTGATTTTTTTTTTTGATTTTTTTTTGATTTTTTTTTTTATTAACGTTGTTTTTTGTTGCTGTTGTTGTTGCTTTTTTGTTATTTATTGTTTTGTTTGTTTGTTTGTTTTGAAATGGAAGCATAACCAAGATGTATTTCATACTTTGTAGCAAAAAACTGCAGTCTTGCAGTCATTCAAAGAAAGAGCGAAGCTTGTCCAAGATACATTTAATAGTGTTGAAGGATTTCATTGTAATGAGGTCATGGGAGCAATGTACTCATTCCCAAAGATTGACATGCCCCACAAGGCTATCATCGAGGCTAAGGTACTTTTAAGAGAAAGTAATATAAAAAATATAATATTGATTGCTTTTTTTATTTTACTTTATCTGTTTCCAAAATATCCTTTAATTTTTTATCCATTATTCACCTTTCTCTTCCTTCCCTTCCCTTATTTTCCTTTCCTTTTCTTTTTTTCCACAACCCTACACAACCCTTAGCTTTTTGGCTTTAATTTTTTATAGTGTCAAAATAAATATTATGTATCTATCTATACACTCCTATCCTTTACTTTCTGTTGGTTTTCCTTTTGCTAATAATACTTTCCTCTACTTTCTTCTCTATTTCTTTCTATTTTTGTTCCCTTCCATTTCTAAACTTTTCTTTCTCATTTAATTTTCTTTTCCATCTTTTTTTCTTTTTTCTCCTTGTAACATCACCCCATTACCTCTCCATCTCTTCCTATTTTATTCCCTTTTAGACAAATTTTCTATTCCAAAGTTTAGTGGAAGAGTCTATTTAATGACATATAGTGCATAAAGTTGAAGTGGGGTTGAATTCATAATTGAATTTAGATCGTACATGAGGAAGTGGTTTTTTCCCTCGTCTCAAAATTCAAAATTCCTGTCTCTGTACTTTATAGAGAGGAATTGTAGTTGTTGTTTTGATAGTATTTATTGAGCATTGTATAGTTCCAGAAATCATCCATACCCACCCCACAGAGGAATTTGGAATTTCCCAAGAGTAGGGGGGTCAGAGAAAGAACAAAAATAATTACAGAGTTTGTATGGAAGAAAATTGGAATTTCTGGGGGGTAGGGGGTGTCTTAAAAAAATTCCTCCGTGAGGGGGGTATGGATAATGTTTGGAACTACACATTCCACGAATCAGCTTCTTAAAGAAGCAAATAAGCCTTACCATAATTTACTTACTTGTGTTTCTTGGTAGGCTCGTGGTCTTCATCCAGATAGTTTCTATGCCATGCAGTTACTGGAAGAAACTGGTCTCTGCGTTGTTCCTGGAAATGGCTTTGGACAAAGGGAGGGCACCTTCCATATAAGGTAAAATCGTTAATCTCAACTGCACCTATTCTTGGTGGTTCCTAACGAAAGATTTCTCTATGTTTCCATTGCTAATACCACAAAAATGGCACCAGGGCCGCCATGTCTTGTAATTTGACCCTCTTGGGAATGGTTGCAAAACATCAATCAGAGAATATCTAAAATGTGGCTGCCACTTTTATTATTTTAAGAGCTTAAAACTTCCAGAAAAACGTGTAACATCTTTAATTTTTGAGCATGGAGAAAAACGGGTAAATTTGATCTTTTTTACTCATTTATTTCCAGACTAACCATTCTTCCACCAATCGATGCCCTCAAGCCATTATTCGAGAGATTCAAAGCCTTCCATAAGAAGTTCCTGGACAAGTATAAGTAATTCAGTAGGCAGTATTGTGTGGCTTAGTCCTCAACCATCACAGGGTTAGTTAAATTTTATGCAAAACTAGGTTTTTATGTTAGGGAACTTAGCAAATAAGAACTTTCTACATTTCTTCAAATTATGGGGGTTTGTGAGGTTAGTTGGCTTTTTGTGATAGGTGGGAGGGTTAGGTTGAATTTTTTTGTCATGATATATTGTGGTATGATAATGAATAATTAAATAATTTTTGGTCTTTCCTCGTTAGGAGGAAATCCGTGAGTTTTAATCCATCACCTTATACACTGCTAAAGAATGGTTTAGCGACTAAGCTTGTAGAGATGGCTATTATATTGAGTTGTGAATTGGGTGTGTGAAGCTACAAAAGAGTTTCTCATGACACTACTTTCCCCTCAAACACTCGGGGATTACTCAGACTGCTTGGTAGAGCACGAATTTCTCTTTAAAATTTAACTTAAAACGTGTATTAAATTACAAAAGCAATGTGCATCATAAAGTCCTAACAAAAAGTTTAAATAATCTGTCTAACAATAATAAAGACTTGCCAAAATTCCCTGGTGATTACTCGGGCTGCATGGTGCGTCTCAAATTATTTTTTCACGTAACTTAAAATGTATTTAATACTGACAAAACCAGTATGCATCGAATTTCCATCAAGAATAAATACCCTTTCTAACAGTATCGCTTTGAATTCCCGATAGGGGATCACTGCTGGGGATTACTCGGGCTCTTTAACAATATCAAACGCTTTTTAGATAAATTAACATAAATATTTCTCATATTAAATAAGAGGTCTTGAGTACCAATGTATTAAATGATCATTGAGACCCCCAGATTATAGACACTTCACCATAATAGATGTGCAATTTATGATTTATTCCTGACCTTTACTGTATCCGATGAGAAATAAATAGGGGTGCATACTAAATTAAAAAATAATATGTTCTAAATGTGAAATTCATAAGTGTTTAGTGTGGTAAAGATGATTTCATATATAGTAGAACTAGTAGTAATGATAATAAATGAAAACATAGAGTTGTCTTTCTCTTTTTATTTTTCGAATGAAACCGAAAAAAATGTCATTGTGTCTTGCGGGTTAATGGGAGAAACCCTTAAAAATTAAAAATATTTTGTCCAGATTTCTAAGTACTTCAACAAGGATGTGGTTTCTCATTTCAGCATTTTTTCTGTCCTGTTTCCTGTTCATTTAGATTAATTTACTACTTTAGTGCAACTCGCGTCGCAAACTGCACGCATTATGTTATTTCTACTTTTTCAAGCTCATTGATGTTTGTATGCCATGGTTGCGCGCAGCTCTAAGTTTTGATTTCTTATGCCGCAAGTTACACGAGAAAAGTTTTTTTTTTTTAAATGCGATTTTTGTAATCTTGCGGCGGAATAGACAAAGTAGATACCAAAGAATGTATGTAATAAATTCACTTCATATAATAATAAATTATTTAGACTTAAAGATTTTTAAAAAAATTTCTTTTTCCTTTTATCTTCCATGTAAAGTCAAAATGTTTATGAATTTCTTCCTTGGGGCTTTTTCAGTTCATCGACTTTAATTATTTTCAATATTGCTATTGCTGATGATTTCCGACTAAATTCATTACTTCATTCACTGCAATCAAAACAGGATATTTCCTTTTTCTCTTTATATTTCATCAACCACAGCGCTGGCATTGTTCCCTGTCTTTCAAGGATAAACTAACGCACTAAATTGAAAATCTTACTTTCTAGTACATTCTTCAAGTCGCAATTCGGATTTTGGTCTTCAACGGGCACATACCTCGGGCGCTTTTTTATTAATTTCAAATATTGTGGTAAACACAGACAGGATGAATRCTCGTGTCGTCTCTAACCAAATATTGATTTAATCTACTTGTCAAAAAAAAATTTTATCCGATTTATGTTTCTTTCATCCGGGTGATTTTTCTCAGCCGGCYTTAGTATCAGCCAATCGGATAACATTTTGTTCGTAGCTCAATATTTCGTCTCTCACTTCTGGGGCTCTGGTTCGAGTTTACTAGGTTTTTCCCTGCATGATTAGAGGTTTTTAGTCTCCGGTTATCCTTTTTCCGTTAAGCCTGCTTARTTCTAATTCGATATGAGTTATGGCTGCTTCCTGGCTTTGACCCCAGAGGTAGGAGAGGAGTGTAGTTCTGCTACCCCACGCTTCATTCCCAAAGACATTGTGTAGCGATAGACCTGACCACTATTGCCGGGGAAGAGCAAAATTTTTCTTAATTAAAAGAAAAYTATGAGTTTTCGCTTGACGTAGGATGGTCTTAGAAAAACGTTTTGGCTGCGCAAGGCTTTTTCTGGTATAGCTTTCATTTCCGACATTTCATATCAGGAAGTGAGATGAGAGTAGGGATTTTAGAGGCACGCGCGGTGTCGGGGGTGGGGGCTGGAGAAGGGGGTGCATACTATTTGCCCGTTCCTTCCCCTTTTCTAATCCAGCTGCAAGAAGCAAGGTGAAATGAACTGGAAAAGTAAATAGTACAAGTAAATAATGATCATGTTTTTTAAGAGCCCGAAAGCCACATACCCTATCTAAAGTTAATGTGCGGCGGGTCATAAATCCTGTAAATAATAAGAGTGGAAGCAAAAAAAATCATGGTCACAAACGTTTACGCTAAAACATAATTGTTTCAAGTCCCTTAGCTGGGGACAAAAAAAAATTAAAATTTCAGAAATATAGTCCTTCATTTTCGAATCTCGAGTGGAAAGGATATAAAAGTCGTACYATTTGTCTAGTACTTGCTTGCCCAATTGGTTGCAAAAATAATGCATTTATCCATTGGCGACAAAAGTCCAAAATTACTTTYCTTCGGCCAATTTATATTAATTAACCCTTCTCAAAATAATATTGGATACAAGGCTAACAAGAAAATACAAAAAAAAAGCAGACTTTCTTGAATTTTTGGCAATTTTTTCATATTTTCATTCTAGCATTGCTCGCTTTCAAAATTATTACGTTAGGTTTTAGCTACGAAGACAAGAGACCTTTATTACTTGAATACAAGATCATAGATTCTTTGTTTTGGCGATTTTTTACTTGGTCRCTTGAAAACATTTTATAATTGTATTCTATCTTAGTATCGTAAGGTTTGAATTATTGATGTTTTTACATGGTGTAAGACCAGCATACTGTAATTTTATCTTTCTTGTTTTCAATTTACTTCCATTAAGTTAAGAATGCTCTTCTAAAAGATGCCTACAATTTGGTGTCAGCTCAAGGAGTTTGTGCAAAAAAATCAARTTTACATCTGCACTCGTTTCGACTCATTTTTTCTAGATCTACTTTAGGTAATTTAGGAAATTATTTTWAAAAGGGAGAAAATTTCCACTCCTGCATTTGTTTCATTAATTTTGCGATCAACAAAAAAACGCGGGAAAAGTTGAGCAGGCGCGTCTTTAGTAATCACATCGTTTTCCCGCCTTTTTTGTGTGAAGAACCTCATGGCGACCCTCATGGCAGCTGACGAACTCTTGCTTTTTTTCTTCTTTCTTTTTTACCGTGAGCCATGGAAATCCAATTTGGATCAGTATTTTTGATTCCTGTCATGGTCAACACCTCGAGACATCTTTTAAGGTAACTCGAGATGCACTTTTCTCTTTTTTTTTTAAACAAACCTTTGATTTTTATGTAGAAAWTGCACGGGATATTTCAAGCAATCTCGTTAATGCTACTTCGTTTCCCCCGCCTTGATAGATTTAATAGCTGGCCTCGTTACTTCAGAGTCACCATTTCCAAACACGAAATTCGGAAGTCCGTATTCCTTCTGGAACCACTCGAATATCTCTCGGTAAGTGGCCTTGTGTTGTTTTTCCGATTCGGAACTGTTYTGTTTGCTGCAAGAAGGCAGACGAACAAAGTCCTGGACGCCGATGTAATCTTTCTCTGGCGTGGTCTTGCTTGTATTTATCGGTTCACTAAAGTAGTCAGGAAAAGCGGTTTGCGCCAGTTGAAGTCCTTGTCGTTTAGTAGCCATAGYTCATTCGTAAATACAGATATGTAGTGGGTCTCAATATAAAAGCTACACTTGTAAACCGACAAAATGTTGAATATTCGCTTTAGAGTCAAACTTCATTAAGTGACGCCACAATGGCTGACTAAAATGGAAGTACTGCTTGAAGGCACAGAATAGCGCTAAATGATCTTAGGAGCATTGAGTTTGTTTGCTTTCTACGTTGTCCTACGGTGCTTTCCCGAGGAGAACTTGTCYAATCTCTTATCTCCTATTCTATTCCCTTTCAGTCGCTGATCGAAAAAAGGTTTCTTTGTCCTGCGCTTCGTTCTTTTCTCTGGATATATCGCCTTTTCCTTCGATATGTYAGGCCACTTGAACACAATTTTTCTTTGTTTTCCTTCCTCAATAAGCACTCAACTCCATCTAATTTTTGGTCCTATTTCTTTTCTTTAAGTGTGCACAATCCTTCAATTTTCACATSTGATGGTGTTATTTCTCGTTGTTTTTTCTTGATTAATTGACGAATACTCCTATTACACGACAAACAAAATGAACGAAAATTTCCGTTGGATGAATTATCCCCAGTAAATCGAAGATAGCAGGAATAATTCTCGGATTAAGATTTAAATTCGATGYAGTCACCGACGGAAAATGAAAAACAACGCATACCTTGTCAAAYCCAGATTTTCTCTTTCAGTCTTGAAGCTCTAGTTTCTAATAAATTCAGGTTTAGTCGGTACTCTGACCACATCATTTACTCGGCAGTGCCGAAGTTCCTTCTGGGAAAACAGAGCAGATTTCACAAAAATGGGAAACAAGCGATTCCGTGACCCTCAAATGGCTTTCCTAGTAGCAACATTGTGATTGGTTGGAATATATTTACTTGTTTTTTGATTGGTTATGAACACATGTCAAAGTCGCAATCCACTTTTCTTGTATCACCTTGGTGATATGCTAATACCACTCACTGTAATACAATACTTTCCTTTATCTTGGAGTATTGTCATGAAAAACTGGATGGTTGATTAAGAAATTGCTTCGTTTTGTTTCAGTGTGCTTGGCGCTTTTAGTGACTAGCTGCTCAGRGAGATGATTTCAATTTATTTGTTCATAATACCACTATATAAATTATAACAATCAAACTTTTTTTTGTGCTATAACAGGTTTTTAATAAGTAAAGTTAATATATCTGTAGGCTGTTTTGTCTATACATTTCTTTCTAGGCAGATTATTAAGGCAAAATCGTGTAATTATTTTGCAAAGACACTTTGAAATGTCGAACACTCTTATAAGGTAAAACGGTTTTACTCCTTGCCCATAACAATATTATAACACAAAGTTAAACCTTATTTGTAAAAATGAACTGAAAGGCAAAATTAAGMGGATCTCTCGTGTTGATGGGTTTGACAAGCGTACATATGTAAACATCATGTGACGTGTGGGCTTACACGTCTTTTCTTAAATTCGAGATTAACGGCTGGAAATTGCGATTATAGTGAGAGGATAGTCCATGATATTATGAGGGGGAGAAAACGTTAATAGAATACTGCATATTGGYAATCTCTTTTCTTGCTTTCTCTTTACCTCTCGGTCCTTCTCTTTTTCGATCTTTTCCCTTCTCTTCAGTTTTCATTCGTTTAGCCATACATACATATTTACAAATTTCCTCTTTTTAGATCTTTATCTATTCATCTAATCTTATTTATTCCCGTCCCATTTCAATTCATGAATCTCTCTT